ACACACACACACACACACACACACACACACACACACACACACACACACACACACACACACACACACTACCCCCGCCCCTCTCAAATGAATCTACATAAATCTGTAAAAACAACAGAAAGTTTGGCGTCTTGCTTTGAGGACAGCGAGGCTTTAAAAAATGGTGAAAAACAAAACTACTAAAACCCCAAAAAAGAATAACCACTTTGATTTTTCTGTGCCCACCCCTTTGGTTATAACATCAGTGGAGGGAAAAGGTGAGAAATGCGGTATCAGGTGCCATGAGAGCACACCCCCTCACCTCCAAACATCCCTCAGCCTCTCGTTTTCCAGAGGTCTGTTCCCTCCTCCGGTGATGATCCAGCCCACCCTTTTTACCCCTCCTGAATCGCCTCAAATCCTCCTCTTGCTCCGCTTCCGTCAGCACTAAACCTCCTTGGACATGCGGATTCGGATGCTGCTGAAGCACTTGCCCATGGCCTCGAACAGCGGGTCGAAGAAGGTGTGCACGCAGATGGAGAAGACGCGGCTGATGCAGTGGGTCTCGATCATGTAACTCTTGATGCACGGCACCACGGCCCAGATGTGCACGAAGGACAAGATGGCGAAGAAGATTCCCCAGATCAGGGCCAACGGGATGCCGACCAGCGCCGTCAGCAGCCGGTAGCACCAGTACTTGGTGACGGTGAAGGTGGTGAAGCTGGCTTTCCATATGCCGTCGAAGCTGTAGGTCCCTGCGGGCTCTGCGATGATATCCTCAAACTCCACCTGGAACACGGGGAAGAACACGACTTATCAGTGATTCAGTGATACTCATGACTAGGGGTGTAAGAAAATATCGATACATTGAAAAATCACAACATATCATTTCCCAAAACTGTATCCATGTTTAATTAAGGCTTAAAATGTACACTTTCATGCTAGTGGTTCATTTTTGTGTTGTATTTTAGCCTCCAACCACTAGTTGGAAGCAGTCAGCCTGCCATTTGGCTCCTCCACTGAGGAGTCTGAAATGTGAGCTCAAATGTTAGCATTGTGGGTAAATGTTAGCGCTCAGTGCCGATGGTTGAATCTGAGTGGTTTAGACAGACACCCGTTGCCTTCAGAGCTGAGGTAGGTTTATCAACTGTCCCTTATCAGCCGGGATGTCTTGTATTTTTCAGACAAAATGAAGGGTCCCATACGAGACACTCTTTCCCCCTTATTCCGATAGCAGCAGAGCCTCACATTATGGCAGGCATTTGTGCCGAAGGGAGTCCCCGAGGGATGACAATGAAGTGTCCAAATGCAACGACCAAATGAAACACAGAGGGTATTGAAATGAGCCCCTTATTTGATCCGTTTACTGAACTTTAGGACAAGGCGTAGGCTGTTAGTATGGTGGGTGACCATATTTTTATAAGTAAATTAATATAAATATAAAGCTGTCAAATATATTATCAAACTATTTAATGGCACATTTGGTCTAACCAACAGCCTTACTCATGAACAAAGGCAGGTGTTTGAAGAATGTATTTTTTTTTCAAAACACAGTTTTGAGACAACTCAAAACTTAATTCTGTCATTTAGTTTGAAGCTGTGACTCAACTACTTTGAGCCATGAACCCTCAGTTTAATTAGATTATCTTGTTCCATCAATGAACTACAGACAAACTACTAACGTCCCTGTCTCGTTGTTTTTAGTTTCATCACATACTCCTCACTGAATCAGTTCTAAGAAGGTAAACGAATATGACAGGTTGATGCAAAGGACCACTTTTAAGATGACGAAGAAGTAGAGTTCATGGATCTGGGAGTTTTGTTTATGGCAGGATGGAACTGGTGAAGGATCAACAAATCAGAGTCTTGTATGCAGTGATAAAGCCAGGATGAGCTTTAGCAATAAGGCACCCACTTCGGATGTTATTATCCATTAAATGGACATTATTAACCGTTATCAGTCCCATAGAATGGCTTCAGACTGTCCCGACTGTGCCGCCTAGTGGGTTCTCCGTCCCAAAGAATGACTTCAGACTGTCAACTGGTTAATATGAGGCATAAAGCCACTAAGATTAACTTTAGAGAAAATGACATGGGCTGCAATAAATTAGACCAGACTCCGGTCGTAGCAGATTGTTGCATTCCAGCGTATATGGCACTGGTAACCCACTAGGGGGTACTGTCAGGACAGTCTGAAGCCATTCTATGGGACTGATAACCGCTAATAACGTCCATTTAATGGACTGATAACATCCGAACTGGTTGAATAAGGTGGGCGGTGCTCTGAGTAGAGCTGCTGTGATATTGAACGGAGCCAGCAGAGGCGTTTGATCAGGAGGATAATCAGATCAGGAGTCTCCCTCTAGTTCATGTTTCCTCTCTGGTCGATGAAGGCTCTGTGGAGGAAGAGGGTTAAGAGGTAAAGCAGGTCTGGGGTTCTCCCCTGGACCCAGTGGCATAAAATGAACAGGTGGAAGAATAGAGAATAAAATCTTATTTTTATTTCTTCAAATGCAAATAAAAAGCAGCTTTCTTTGAAGGAATGTTTATCACCTTTCACACCAGGGTTTGAAACAAATACCATACATGCTTGGTCGGTGTGCAAACTACATGTTGGGAACAACTTTCTGCTTTAAAACCAAATGTATTTTGATTTCATTAATATTATAAAGTGAAATAGGATGATCAGATTAAAAAAAGGTTTTCTGTTTTAGTCTAAGAGCTGCTAGAACTGGTTGTTTTACTGAAGAGTGTAAAACACGAGTGAAAGAAGCAGGGGACTCGTCTTCCTCCTCTGACAGAAACGTGTTTCTCAACGCTCCTGATATGGTGCAAATAAAACCATTGCACAAACTCGACAGTCTCGGCTCATTATGTTCACATAAATCAGCTGCTTCACTCCTTGTTAATGTGCCAGTTCTGCTGACTCGTAGGGTGGGATTCCTCACAAGATTTATCTCCCCGTGCAGAGGCTGGTACGCAGTCCAACATCTGCCCGGCCCACAACACGCATTTCTTCACGCGTGTGCTATCTCTGGAATCTGCTGCAAATCACCTTGAGGGTTTGTGTCTGGAAATGAATAAAAAAAAGTAGCGCCAGTGTGCTTCCTCTGCCTCCACCTCTGCCTCCCCTCTCCACGGGCTCCTGAGTGCAGACTCAGTGTTTATTTTGTTCCTTGGAGACCGGATCGTGTCAAACAGAACCACTGGGCTGCTGGGGACTAATGGCTGTGATATCAGTAAGTCATCCAGATATTAGCCAGTGTCCTGCCGAGGAACGGAAGAGTAAAGTGCCTCATTCTTAACTGATTCATCATCTGAAAGACGTGATGCTCTGACAGCCCCACTTCTCCCTCCTGCTGATATGTCACACTATTTTTAAATCCCTGAAAAGTTGTTGGAAGTGAACTCTTATCTTCAAAAGTTTCACCTTTTCTTCTTCTTTTTGTTCCAAAGAACCAGATTTGTGGTCCACTCTTTCTCTGCCCAGTTCTTGCACCAGAGTCTGACCATGAAATAATAATCTGAAGCAGGTGAACTGTGTCTGAAAGTCCTGATCTTAATGAAAAACCCAGCAAAGACCTGAACCAGGATCTGCACTATCCTTCATCACTGACTGAGAGTGTTTACATTTCAGCTGCTATCTCTTTAGGAGTCAGCTTTGTGGAGCTAAAATACTGATTCCTGTCTGTCAACTTGGGAGATTTGGTGTTTTTTCCCCATTTCAAATTAGATTAAACTGAACAAAAACAAACAAAATATGACTTGAACAGTAAAGAGCCTAAAGACTTCATTTACAGTAAAATGGAAAAAAAAATCACTAAGTTGTTTGTTATGTGTCGACACAACACTGAGTCACTTGAGAATTTATTAAATCAAAGTTAAWAAATTAGAAAAAACAAAACAAATGTTCAGAGAATGGACTAAAAATGTGTGGAAGACAGCATTGTCTTAAATGATTTATGAAGACTGCTTTAGAAAAAGACGGCTCCTTCAAAATAAAACAAACTTTTAAAATTTTTTTGATAGTTTTTGATCATTCTTCGGGAACAAAGCAGTATTTTAAAGGGATCCATGATTAGTTGTAACATTAGACTTTATTTGATAAACATATACTTTAACTGTAAAATAAAGACTGTAAAATACTGTAGGATGTTTAGTTTTTATTATTTTTTAACTAAAAGTTTAAAAATATATTACACAGACGAGGCCATTTTATTTACATGCAAAGCATTCTGGGTAAATGATGACGTGGATAGGTCCTCGGTCTGAGGCTGCTAGTGAGCTATATCCACCCTGAAGGTTAATCTTGGACAATATCTGATGATCGACTCTTTTAAATGAAACCAGAGAGCGTTGACAGAGAGGAGAAGGTAGAAATGACTCAGCTGTAACTGAAAATATAGATGGAGGACAACAGAGCTGCTTCATGGAAGAAGAACCTCAGCTTAGCCTGTTAGCTTTAGTGTTAGCCCCGACACTATCACCATATATATGTATTAGCTCAGCACTACACATTCTCCTCTCGTCACTGAGGTCCTCCATCCACATGAGAGAGAGGGGAACACAAAAATGACTCAGCTTGTAACTGAAAATATGGATGGAGGACCTCAGTTTAGCTTGTTTGTTGCACTAGCGCCGAGCTAATACATATAAGGCGATATAGTGTCGGCGCAAATGCAAAGGCTAACAAGCTAAGCTGAGGTTCTTCTTCCATGAAGCAGCTCTGTTGTCCTCCATCCATATTTTCAGTTCCAGGCTGAGTCATTTCTACCTTCTCCTCTCTGTCAACGCTCTCTGGTTTCATTTAAAAGAGTCGATCATCAGATATTGTCCAAGATTAACCTTCAGGGTGGATATAGCTCACTAGCAGCCTCGCACCGATGACCTAGTTGATGTCATCAGTTACCCAGAATGCTTTGTGTGTAAATAAAATGGCTCCGTCCGTGTAGTATATTTTTAAACTTTTAGTTTAAAAATGATAAAAACTGAACATCCTACAGTATTTTTACAGTCTTTATTTCATAGTTGAAATATATGTTTATCAAATAAAGTCTAATGTTACAACTAATCGGGGATCCCTTTAAGGATTTTCAGAGGTGACTGTTAGGGGGTTAAAATGAAGATTACTTTGGTTTAAAGAGTTCAAATCTCCTGTCGCTTCAACCTCCTGCTCACCTGCTGCTGAGAGGCAGAAGGCAGCAAAACGTTTTACTTGTGTGTGACTTTATTTGTCTCAGATTTTAATGAAGCTCTCAGACATGGATCATAGGACACCCGTCCACAACTGATGTTTTTTTAGAGTCAATAGATTCAAAATGGCCGACCATTCCATTTTTGTTCAAAGATTTAATACTAAACAGATATGATGAAACAAAAACCTTTTCACGCGGCATTTTAAAGGTTGTTATGTTTTATCTTGAAAATAAAGCGGTGTTGGTACTGACGGCCATGTTGCTCAGTGAAATGGGGACTTGTTGTTTAGGAGCAGCAGCTCCTGCAGCATAGAGCCTCCCTCTCAGAGCGCAGCCACAAAACCAGCCCGACCGTTTCTATTTTTTTTTCCACTGCTACAAATCTGATAGTGGTCCAGCTCTGCGCCACTTTCCACCACTTTGATTGGGTCTAAATGAGAGAGCTTCGGGGGGAGAGAGGCTGTAACACGGCCGCAGCAGGGAGGTGCAGGCCGCACTCTGCTCTTGTTGTTTGAGAACATCCACGTCATTAGGAGCTCAATCACATTTAGTTTATTTTAACTGTAAAAGAAATCTTTTGTCCATGTGTGTGTGTGTGTGTGTGTGGGGGGGGGGGGCAGTTTCCAGTTTGCTCAGCAGTCGAGTGCTGAAGAAGCTCTCTTCAGTGTGAAGCAGGATGGACGGGGTCCGGCGGGAGGTTTGATGTGAAACAACGGGGTCTGGTGGTCAGCGCATGACCCGTTGGCAGGGCAACTGTATTATTGAGTAAATAAGGCCGAGTGCTATTTCCAGAGCTCTATCTTCAGGCTGTCAGCTCTGCTTGACTAGACAAAGACACAGAATTAACCCCTTCTTTTGTCTGTAGAAGAGTCTCAGTGGGAGTAAATGTTTGGAGATTAGAGGGGCAGAAGAAACTTCACTTAAAGGACAAATATTATGTGTTTCTCAGGCATATGTTTAAATACTATAAGTATCAATGTCACCTTTAGTTGTTATTAAAATGCTGTTTTTATGTTTAAATAGAAAATTAACATATCTTCTCATCACTTCCTCTTCAAAACGCCTTGAAATTGACTTCTGTCTCTTTAAGAACCACCTTCCGCTTCTGTCCCACCCATTTCAGTGGGGGGG